ACCACGCCCAATATCACATGATATCGTTTTAGATCACTAGCAAGATCCAGCGTCTGCAGTTATTAAATAATTCCGATATCACTTTTCCACCAAATCCGGTCAAACAGAGAAGTGCCATGCCACCTAATTTCGTCCATTCACTTGATTCAACTCACATGATGCTGACTGCCCTAGACTGCCAGAAGTAAGAGGACATGAACTTATAACAGGAGAAAAGATTAATTATTGGGGTACCTGGAGCTTGCACCTGCTGTATATGTGACCATAATTGACAAAAGGTACCTTATGGCGGGTAGTGAAATCTGTCTTTATAGCCTAAAAAATCCAACTTCCTGAGCTCCATTTATCATAAAATTACTCCACAGGATGCAAAAAGTTACTATGTAACTTTTAGAAACCATGGTTGTTCAACAGAGCACTCACAGGTTGATTTTTTTCATTTTAATGATGAATTTTAAAATCCGCCATAAGGTACCTTTTGTCAATTATGGTCACATATTATGTACAGTATATTGTATTGTATTAAAAGTAGACAAGAAGCAGAATGAAGCTGTGTGTTACTAAATGTTTTTTGTTACTCTTAGGTCTGGTATTCCATTTGTGGCAGTCCATGACAGCTACTGGGCTCATGGCCGTAATATTGATGAAATGAATAAAGTAATATTAATAATATTAGATCTTTCTTAATTTCTCTCTGTCCCTCATTATTTTAAGTTTTGTAGAGAGCAATTTGTTGCTCTACACAGTCAGCCTATTCTAAAGGATCTTGCAAACTTCTTTGAAGAGAATTTCGGAGGATTACCGTAAGCAAAGTTACTATTTTTAGCAGCACTTTGTGCTATTTTTAGTAACACTGTTAGTATGTTTAGTAATGCTTGTTACTGCTTTCCAGGTACAAAACGACTAAAGAAGGAAAAATGGTCACATCATTTTTAAAAGAATTACCTTCACAAGGTATTGGGTGTACATGTACTTTTTGAGCTATTGTTTTATATGTAGGAGAACTGGATTTAAACTGCATCAAAGATTCAACTTATTTTTTCAGTTAAATTTATATTATTTATTATTCTTATATTATTATCATTATTATTATTATTTTATTATTATTAAATTAGTCGTTCAAATTCTCGTCTCATTATTTTACATCATCACTTCCACCTGTAAATTTGTGTTGCCACGGTTACTAGGCGCGAACGATTGAGGTTGAGAAGGAGTGATGGCAACTACTGATTCTTTGATATCTTTAGAGTACATCAACCTCTCTGATGTATTGCGACACTTGTGAGTCTAACTACTGTATCAATACTGCAGCCAATTTGTAATATATATATATATATATAAAACATGTATATATACTTTTTGATGCACTGTGTTATTCATTCTGCTATAATCTTATTTGTTATAATAGGCACTCCTCTTCATTATTGTTTGACTATATCTCATGTTTTAATCCTTTGCTCCCCTTCTTTCTTTCCTTTCTTCTAGGAAGCATTATATGTACAGGATCAGGAGGGAGAATGGGTTTGATTTGTCTGGTCCGGAAAAACCCTGGGGTGAATTCACAGCTGCTAAAGGAGTCAGCTCATTAATACAATTAAGCTACATCACTTTACATTTTATGCAACAGTAACATTAATCTATTTATGGGCATTTCTATTGTGATATAGGGATCCTATTATTTCAGTTATTATCAAGACCAACTCCTTGAGAGTATGCTGGACTCCTACTCAAAGCACAGAGAAGGAAAGGTTTGTTGATATTGCCAAATTATATTACTTTATTCATCTCTTATTCCCAGGTTTTTGACAACATTTGTGAGCTCTTAGCCTCAAGACCGACCTTACTTGGAAGGTGACATAAACACAGGCTTATAAATCTTGTATTACCCCTCCTTGGTATATCCCTCCTTTTTCAATCTCTTCTTTTTCTTTTTAGGATAAGAGGACCTCTTGATCTACTGGAGCATCAAGAGGTTGAAGATAATGTCTCAAATGAGTCAACAAGACTCATACTGACAATTGCACAAATACTTATTCAAGAAGTTAGCCTCCAGCATCATGCATGATATATCTAAATATCTACTACAATCGTATCTTTTACATTATTTTTCAGAATGGTGTTTTCCTGAAATCTCTCAAGCCACTGACATCTCCTGCTGCATCACTGGAATCAAGCAAAGTTAGCAATTGAAAACTGCAATTGTTTATTTATTATTATTATTGTTATCTTGAATGATAGGAGCATCTAGTAATTGACTCTGTGATAAACAAAGCGATAGTAAAAGGAGCTAATGACTATCATGTTGAGAAGAGAGAGAGAAACTCCACTCCTAGCACTGACGGCACCGATAATAACGCCCGCAAACCCAAACCAAAGAACTCAAAAACCTGTTGCAGCTGCGGCCGCGAAAAACCTTCAAAAGCCAAACCAGTCCTTCCCCGCATGATCTCATCACGTTCTATTGCTGACTCAACTAAGAGTGACTCAGTGTCCAGCAGACAGAGGAGGACTGCTATGGGTCCTGCTCTTGTTTATGTTCCTCCGTCTCGAGGAGTTGATAGCAATCAGACGTCCCCTCGTTCTGTTTTAGCAGCTGCTGATAATAGTTAGGTATTAAGTTTTTTAGCTCTTGCTTAAATTACGACATGCATGTTGTTTTTATTTTTATTTTACAATAGATGAGGGCGTGCCTGCAAAATGAAAATCATGACAAAACCTTGACTTAATTAAGAGTAGAAAATCAAATTAATATAATTTTACAGAAATACGTTATATTATCTTTGCTGTTGTTAGTTATGTGTATAATTTTTAGTGAAGTTTTCAATTTGTAGTTCGAAATTTTTAAATGCAACTTTTTAGATAGCCTAAGGACATCAATATTTTTTAAAAGGCCATATAACTTGAAAAAATTTAGTTGGAATCAGCTACGTAGCATAAAAACATCACTATGTATTGGAAAAGGTGATTAAAAATAGGGGTCATTTTTTAGCAATTTTTTGGAATTTTTCAAATTTTGGCCTTTGAAAATGGCCATAACTTTAAAAATTTAAGTCGGAATCAGCTCAAACTTTCTACACAGCATAAGTACATCAATATGTATCAGAGAATGTAATAAAAATTTGGGGGTGATTTTGGAGCCAATTTTCAGAAAAAGGATGAGCTATATATAGCCTTGGGTATATTTTCAGATTTTGACATAAATTATTGTTAAAAATAAGGAGCATATCATCTCCACTTCAGATACTCCTCTTGTTTATTACCTTTGTCATTCATAGCTAGTAGTCTAACTTGATGTGCTCAAGCCCAACATTATTTTTCAATGCCTCAAATACAATGAACTGACTGCTAAATAAAGGATTTGATAGCACAAAAAAACTAAAAGAAAAGGCCTATTAATAATGTTACTGCACTACGTACTAGCTACTCTGATCTAAAAATTATAGTTCTATTGTTTTGTTAATGATCATTATTATTCTGAGTCAATTAAACTCCTCTCCTTCTTCTCCATTCATTTCTTCTTCCCCACCAGCTTCATCCTCCTCTACATCTCCCTCTTCATCATCAATAAACTCATCATCAAACTCTTCTTCTTCTTCATTCATTTCTTCTTCCTCACCAGCTTCATCCTCTACATCTCCCTCTTCATCATCAATAAACTCATCATCAGACTCTTCTTCTCCATTCATTTCTTCTTCTTCCTCATAAGCTTCATCCTCACCAGCTTCATCCTCCTCTACATCTCCCTCTTCATCATCAATAAACTCATCATCATCAAACTCTTCACTTCTTTTCTCCACATCAAACCTTTCATCATCATCATTAACTGATACACGTCTTGACCATAAAGTGCACCTATAAGTCAGTGCCCTGTATCTCCCCCTCCAGCAGAGTCTCCTGGTCCTGTAGATACCGCTGTACCTGTTGCTCACTATTGAAGGAGTAAACCCCGTTCCATAATAACTTGAGGCATCAGTAGCTTGATTTCTTGGAAGTCGTCTATTGATGGATCTTAATCTGCAATGCCTACGTCCCCATCTATTCCTAGGTCTGACTCCAATGCTTACTGACCGACTGTAGCTTAAAGGACATTGAATCTTAATGCATCCATATCTCCAGCCGGTTAGGGATCCAGCTGCAAACGAGGATTGGACTCCTTGTTCAGTATATGTTGTGGTGAAACATACTCCTCGTCCTCCACGGTGTCTGATTTTCATGTAGCAAGTGCTTCTTCTAGTTTTTGATCTTTTCTGCCATCTCCTAAGATTCATCTTTGGTAGTCTAGAGCATCTTACTCTTTTGTTCCGTGACCTGCCGGGCATTTTAAAGGAGTCTCTTTGAATGAGGTTAATGTCAGTGTTATCACATATAACACGTGATAGAGATGCTCTGTTTATCTCTCTTCGTTGCAGTGAGGTAAATACTCCTGGTTTTTCATACCAGAAACGATCACCGTCACGAAGATTTTGAAACGTAAGTCCAAAAATGCAAGCAAATGTTGGTCCTAAGACACTACCCTTTAGCCTTCTTTCTGATATTCCTCCCAACCAGAAATCAACATTTTCCAAATGTTCATAAGTCTTCAGTAATTGTCTGTGAAGAGTGCGTGACCTCAATGATGCCATTGGTAGCTTGGGGAACTGACGAAGGCAGTAGTTACGCCAGACTGTGTAAGATGGCAGCCCGTGATCTCTTTGTCTCTGAAGGTTCAGTGCTGCTAGATCTAAACCAGGAGCACTTGTTTTCTTAAACAATTGTGTTGTTAATACCTTATTGAGTGATTCGTCCATCCTCCTTGAGCTATCTGTTGCTAGTCCTCGGAAAATAGCACCCAATCTGGTCTCTTGGAATGCCTTAATGTTGAAGAATGATTGGAGTAAGTTCAGTTGCTTGTTTGTTCCCCTCTCATACTGATCACTGAGATAACGTGAAAATTCTGGTCTTATGAGACTGTGCCCAAACCTAAAGGCAGCAGTAGCAAATACATTAGGTATACTAGCATCAATTGATGCATTGTACCCTTTGTAAGGAGGTATGAGTGTATTTAGTATCTTACTCCTTATCAGTTTAGGGAGGAAGTCCTTAAATGTAATCTTTTGTAGCATTGCTCCTATTATCTTTCTTGTTTCTTGATACAGCTTCTCATCATTCCAGCTACGATTCATTATCTTCAATTGCT